TATTGCTAGTGCGGTCTTGTTTTGGGTTTGTTTCTGCGGTGAGTTGTGGGTTTGTCATTAAGTTAGTTATGCTTTATGAATTTTTATTGAACTTGTGTTCATTCTTCCAACTCCCTTTTATTTTATCAAAATCTCAAGATTAATTTAAATTAATTAAATTAATAGAGAGTAATTGCCCTTTTATTTTGGTTGCACCAAGTTAAACCAATTTTATTAAAGAATGATTCTTAGAAATAATTTTTGGTTTTACGCACTTGGACGAATTTATTTAAGTTGGATTTTTTATTTCATTTTTTCTCAAAATTAATTGATTCCAAAATTAATTTAGATTTGATTGAAAATGTCACATAAAATCGGGAATTGTTCCCGAGGCATGAGCACCAAAATCAACGCCGAAGAGCCCCGAGCATGCTCTTGGCCAGCCAGGCTGCTCACGTAACCATGGGGCTGCCGAGGCTTTTGGGTGCCTCGACTTGGTGCGTCTATGTGCGGGAGGAGGGGGGAGTCGTTGTGTGCGGCACCATGGCGCACCATGGCAGCCGAGGCAGCTACATGGTGCGGCAGCAGCTTGCTGCTATTCGCGCACCGTGTGTGCGGCCTTGTAGGTTGCCATGGGTAAGCCGTGTGTGGTGCTCGCTTAAGATCTTCCGGAGTCGGTTCAAAACCAAGTCTAAAAGTGTCCAATTTAGGGAGGCTAGGTAGTCCCATTTGCTTTGCTATCCCTTTCTTCTTTCCAAGGGACATACAAGGAAAGTTTCCTTGTTTCTTAAGTATAGAATTTATCGTCATGTTAGAGTGGAGGTCTTAGTGAAGAGGGATCCTTTCATCCTCCACAATTAAAGAGACCTCTTCGTTAAAGCCCCACAAGTTTTCGTCATCTTCATCGTGCTCTACGTTTATGATGAGATTCTCGTTAGCCTTGATTCTCATTGGTGAAGCATCAATTATGACAGGGATTTCTCCAACTATAGCCTTCACTTGCTGATGAATGGATGAATGGACGACCTTTAGGTCGTGAAGGCAAGGGCGTCCCAACAATAGGTTGAAAGATGCTTTAATATCTACCACTTGAAAAGTAGTATCATGTTCTACGACTCCTGCCGTTATATTCATGGTGATGGTACCAAGAGCTTGGTGGCGAGTGTTTTCATAGGCTCTTATTCCCTGTATAAACGGGGATAAGTCTTCATCTTTTATCCCTGACATTCTCGCAGTTCGGAGTGAACATAAGTTAATTGCTGATTCATTATCTACAAGAGTCATTGGGCCATTCATTCTTTTGCAGATTACTTTGAGATTTAATGCATTGTTATGCTTATCACCCTCTGGAGGTAAGTCCTTGTTAGAAAAGGTGATTAAATTAATAGGACTAGGAAGATCACTCGTGAGAAAGTTAACCAACCCCTCAGGAGTGGTTTCAAAATCTATTCCTATTTTGTCCAAAGCATTCATTACTACCAACCTATGTTGATGGGATATAACTAAGAGTTTCCATACATTCATATAAACTTTAGTCTTCTTTAATTGCTTGACAACATCGTTGTCTTCTATGATAGGTATGGGAACTTGCTGAGTAGTAGGGATAGGTTGTTGCACAATAATGGGAGGTTGCATTCTCCTTGATCTTGTGAGGACATCTATGGGTGAATCTTCTTCATCCCAAATGTCCTCCACTGGATATACTGTGGAGAGTGGGGTCTCTTCCATATCCTTGAGGTAGACATCCTCATCGTCACTGTCCCAAACTCCATTAATGGTAGCATCTTTCTCTTGTGGAATTCGGACAATATTTTTATCATCAATTAGTTTCTGAATTAAATCCTTAAATTTAAAACACTGTTCTATTATATGTCCCCCTAATTGGTGATATGGACAGTAGAACCTATCTGTCCTTTTTAGTGATTCAAATGGTCTCGGTTTGAGAGGTTTAATCTTGCCACCCTCGGGGAGTATTTTGAACATATTCCCATAGGTTGTCCCAATTGGAGTGTAGGGCCAGTGACTCCTTTTAGGTATTTCAACTACTTGAAGAGAGAATGGTTTCTTTGTAATTGGTGTTACGTCCTTGACATGTTTGTTCCGTTCTTGTTCTGTGCATTCAATAACTCTTTTACACATGCCTACAAATTTCTCTATCGAATATACGAGGAGTAATATATCTTCTTTAGTGGGTGGTTGTTGCATTGGGGATGATTCACTCATGGCGTCGAAAAAATATTTCTTCTTCAAGGGAATGAGTTTCTTCGACTGGTTTACTCAAAGATGAGGGATCAACAGAATTTTTGTCATTAGAGATAGCAAAGGAGTTAGAAAGTGGTGCACTGTTGATGCTTGGCTTCGTGCTTGCAGGAGGCACTGGGAGTTTATTGTTGTCGATCAAGTCCTGGATAGCTTCCTTTAGCTTCCAGCAATTCTAAGTAAGATGGCCCTTGCCTTAATGGTATTTGCAATGTGCATTGGGGTTCCAATTAGTTGTTCGCTTTTCTACTAGTGGATCCCCAAATGGTCTAATAGGAGTTATAAGACCTTTTGCATGAAGACAATCAAATGCGGTTTCATAACTCATACCAATAGGAGTAAAGTTTCTCTTTAATGGTTTCTTTTGTCCTTGATTGTTCATAGCAAGGACTTCATTCAGATTAAAGGTGCTAACATGATTTGAGTGGGTGGATTTGGAAGAAGAAGGATTGTCGTTCTTCTTTCCTTTCTAGCCACTATTGGAGTTAGTGTTAGCATCTTTTTGCTTTGCAAGGTCATCTATAATACTAATCCCAATGTCATAGACGGCCTTGAAAGTATTGAAGTTGCTTTGATACTTGAGATGTTTAGAATATTTTTCCTAGAGATTCTTTATGAACAATCTCACAGATTCCTTTTCATTAGGTACTTCAATCATCTTAGCAGAGGTTTCCCTCCACTTATTAAAGAAAGAAGTAAAACCTTCCTTCTCTTTTTGTTTAAGTATCTCAAGTTCCCTATGATCAGTTTTAACTTGAATATTACACTTGTACCTATTAATAAAAGCGTTTACAATGTGTAGACACCCAAATGTGTCTCCCCAAAACCAAACCCAGTGATGAATACCTTTCATGTCATTTGATTATATAACAAAGCGAAAGTGTGAAAAGTCTAGTGATGAGGATGTTTTTATTAAAATATCTCTTCTTTCTGTTTTTGAAAATATTTCTTTTCTTACCCTATTTTTGAAAAACGTGCATTCTAGTTTAGTTTGGTCCATGATATAAGTCCAATAATGGTGTAGTTAGATGGGCTTGAAAAGACCTTTCCAACGATATATTATAAGCCCAATTCCGAGGAATAATGAGGAAGTTATGGCCAAAATACTAAACTGGGCCCAAACCGGATTTTACCTACGACCCAAGGATCATGTGGAGGGTCCAAAGGTTTAATCCTATTCCTTAACTAATTAGGATTAATTAGAAGCTTCTATAATTTTTAAAAGATCTTAATTATCCTTTTTGAAAAGATAAGATCAAAAAAATTTGAGTTAAATAAAAACTTTCCTTTTCTTAAAAACTAATTCTATTCGAATTTAAAGATGTTCAAAGATAGTCAGATATTATTTTTGTGCCTCATAATCTTTATCCAAATTTTATATGGTTAAATAGATCTTAAAATTATCTTTCCAATGATATATTATAATATTAAATCCGAGCTACGAAAAAGATATGAATGAAATATGAAACTCTATCCAAAACTGATACTCTTCCACTATTTCGGCCATATCTTTTTATATAAAAAATATTTTAATCTGATTTAATTGGGTTGGAAAGTATATTTCAAGATCTTTCCAACTACATATTATATGCCTTATTTGGATTTCTAGATCAAAAGATATGACAAAAACAAAATCCGCAAAAACTGCTGTCCATCGAGTTCTATTTCGATTCGAATTCGGATTCTTTTCTTATTTTTCGACCCTCTTTTTAATATATAAATAGAGGTCATATCTCCCATTTTTCAATCACCAAATCTCATCAAGAATTTCTTGATTTTCTCTCTCTCTTTCTAAGCCTAGCTTTTTACAAACAAAATTTCTCATACATTAGCACTAGACACACCTAGCCAAGTTCGAAGTTGTCTTCGCCCTAGACGTGAAAGGTTTGATATTTCTGAGGGTTTGGTCCCAAATCTCTCTTTCAATTATTTAATTTAATTGTTTTGTTTTATATTTTCCTTGAAGTTACTAACGCGTGCATTTTGTTATTAGAAAGAGGTACGAGGCATCCAAGTAAGTGCTTTAATTGTTTAATTGATATTATGATAGAAATCATGTCTAGGTTGTTATTATGATTCCTAGTATCATGTTAGGATGTTTTTATTAATTTGATGTTTAGGGTGACAACAATAAATTCCCAGTATCATGTTTAGGGTATAATGTCAATTATGATTTCTATGGTGCTTCCTATTTTCTTTCCTAATATTCATGTTAGTATCATGCACTAGTAAAAAATTAACCTCAAGTAACACCCAAAAAGTGTTACATAAAGAGGTAAACGTGATATTATAGACAATAGGTAACACTTTATTGGGTGATACTTCCGCCCATGTTACCTAAAGTCTTATGTAACACTTTGGGTAACGTATGGTAACACTTTCAAATGTGTTACTATAAATCCTTTTATGTAACACTTTTTATATTATTAGTATCATTTTTAAAGTGTTACGTTTTAGTTTTTGTGTAACACTAACTTATCTTTAGTAACATTTTTCAAACATATGGTATCACTTTATCCGACATTATGTATCACTTTTTTGAACTAACGTAACACATTGTTGATTATTAGGTAACATATGTCAATCATCTTTTGGCATATGGTAGCACTTTATTCGATATTATGTATCACTTTTTGCAAACTAATGTAACACCTTATTATTTAATAGGTAATATTTATTATTATAATTATTATTATTTATTATTATAACATTCATTATAACTATTTTTAAGTTATAAAAATAATATTAATATATACAACAACTATGAATGAGATATTAACATACATGATAGACAACAATTTTGAATGAAATTATTTCATAAATCTTACAAAAAAATCCACAAACACCAATTTTAATGTTTGGCCAAACAATATAATATTCCAAACAAAAAGTGAGGAAATAAATACGAAAAACTTCCAAATTTCAAAAAATAGTCAGCGTGATAGCAGTAAACAACATTGATAAAGCAGCAGCTAGCTAGCAGAACGCATCAGCAGTAACAGAAGCTACCAGCAGACAGCAGTATGTAGCAGCAGACAACAATAGCACACATCAGTGGCATCAAACAAAAGTAGGAGTCAGCAACAGATTGTAGTAGCAGCAAAACAAACAGTAGTAGCAGCAGCAAAACAACAGTAATAGTAAGTGCTTCTTCTAGCATTATCACTTGTTACCCCAATCCTTCATCTTTATCCATTTGATCCTTGGTATGAATACATCATATATCAAACCACTAAAACAAAAATGAAAATGCAATAATAGGAGTTAGTGCTTTTTAAAAGAGAATACATTAACCTAGGACATGAACTGTTGATACTGAGTTACTGACCTCATCCTCCCATATGGTAATTGTGCTAGCATTATCGGGTTTTTATGATCGGCTCCATATTTTTTAAATCTACACAAATTCCATTATATTCCAGCTGCCTCATACATGCAATTGCCATCAAGTTAGTGATGTAGTAAGAACTTTCAGAAAATGAGAATAAAAATTTCATCTTGCGAGTTTTACCTTTTTACAGGCCATCTGTCAATAAACTCTCAAGTCAATGAGACTGAAAATTTCATCTTGGGAGTAGTATAAGCACATGATTTCAAATTAACAATTCAAGCACTAATTAATATATTTTGGCAAAGTAATGAATGATTAAGACTAAAATTTCTTAAGCATTCATCACCCTTCAATATAGCAGCACAAGAGTAACAAATGATTAATTACGAGCAATTTAATATTACTTGAATATTATTTGCATTATTTCATAAGATAAAGTTATAAAACCAATTGATGATCGAGGGGAGCCAGATGCATAAGTTTCCTTTGATCAATAAGTTTTCTTTTTAAAAAAAATGTATTTCAATCCCCACCATTAACTTTAGCATACCTAACTAAGTCTGATTATCTCATAATTTATGGTAACTACCCTCATGAGAGCTCACAATAGTTTCTTGAGGATAACAAAAACGTTATAATATCAACCAAAGATTCTTAATGCCTATTGTTACTATAATTCTTTGCTTACCAGCTTAATTAAAGAAGCGAGATAATTTTTTGGAAAATATATTGAATTTGAAAAAGAAAAAAAAAAACCCAACAAAATTAGATGTTAGTCACCTAGAAAATGTGGTTTCAATTAACTAAAAGGTAGAAAAATGATCATTTTTACTAAGGGAAAGATAACACATTAAACATAGCATGAACCAGGAATAAAGCTCTTCGATGAGACACTAAATTGTTGGTATACACATAGCTTCAATTTTTTCAGTTGTAGTTACCGAGGATAGTTTTTATTTGATCTAGTTCAAAATGAAAATTTAAAGCATCTAGAGTACAAAAAACATCTCATACCTGAAAATACATTAAAAATGAACTCCTTTGCAATCCCATTCACCAATCTATTAGGCATTAAAGTGATTTGCTGCCGGGGAGACGAGGATAAAAAGTGTTGCTGCCACAATTCAGAGCCAATATTTGAGATGACTATGATCAAGCAGTGATAGACCCGCCAAGTACTTGGCTTTTCTTTATTTGCATCCTTCATTAGCACTCATAGCTTTTAAATAAAACCTAAGTTTTTTGATAAGGTAATCACATTAATCAGAAAATATACTATACCCCATAGGCTTTAAATTCAGTTTAGAATATCATACGCAGTTACTTTACAAGGTATTATTTCAATCCTACATGAGAAATATAGTTCAAATTCTCACTCAAATGCATCCTTCAATAGATTATACATAGTTTCACTGCAATGAAATAGGCTAATATCCATAATCAGAAATACCAGTTAAAAACTAAGCCAAAAAATAGGTTAACTTTCAATATAGCTTATTTTTACATTAGATACTTGAACAAGCTATCCATACTCAATCTTAAGCAACATGTTATGCTCAGCAAAGCCAACAAGAAAATTAGTAAGAGAATTCTGATCATTACAAGATTATTTGAAGAAAACCATATAAAGCTTACAACTAATCAACTATGGAGAAAAATGAACAGAAGATAAGCATACCAACGGTCTAGAAAATTAGCAGCTGTTCCACGCTCACAGACAGAGTATTCGAAGGAGTCTACCACCAATCCACGACTCAAATTCAGAAAATGACAGAATTTTTCAAAGAAATTCGTCAATAAAGAAACTGAATTTGTTAGATAAGGTGAATTTTGACCACTGTATTCTTCAGAAAATTTTGCTACATCTAGATCATTTCATGAGAAAATCGCAGCAACTATCAATATGTGATATAATCCAAGCATCGCATTTATTTACAAACTAAAGCACAAACTTATTCCCAGGCAGCAAACAAGAACAAAATATAAGATATATAATATTGGCACCCAATTTTACAACAATACATCAATATACACCCAATTTTGCAACAATACAACAATATATATACCGATATTCATGATTGATTTCAGCAAATAAGTAATACAGGTACACAAAACAGAAGCTAATTTTTAAAAATGGGGAAGAGGAAACTGGAGAAGACATTCTTATAAAATTATTGATGCTTAAATTAAAATCAAATAAACCCACATATTCAAGCTAAAATAATTTACAGATGAAATTACCAGATAGTTTCACAAATTTGAAAATTTTAGGCCTTAATTTAAAAAGAAAACACACCTACTTTCAATCTGAACCCAATGAATCGCTGATCCATTATGAGATGAAGGTTTTTCGCGCGGTTCAAGGGGGCACTATAGTCAGCCAGCGGCGGTGAGCTAATACAACCAGGTTGGTTAAAGAAAAGGAAACCCAACAACCATCTAGATTCGGAAGCCGATCATAGTACTTTAGTGTTTATATGATAATCAATATGTATGTAGGAGACAGAAAATTGAATTCAATTAATTGACGATGAACCATGGATTTTGAATTGCAAATCGGTGATTTACAAAAACATTACCTCTTAAGCCGTTTCTAATCTTCAATAAAGAGGAATGCTCAGATTTGCGGAGGATCGAAGAGAGTTTAGAATGTAGTCGCTTCAATGAAGGAAAAGATTAGAAAGTTGCTTCAATGATGGAGCAAGAGCTTCGATAAGGACTTCATCGAACCATCAGCTTGATAGAGGAGAAAGAAGAAGAGTGAAAAAAGAGGCTGAAGTTTTTTTTTTTTTTTTTTGAGTCAATGAAAATCAGGTTAATTCCAAGAAAACCGTAGAGAAATTTAGAAAAAATAAATAAATAAATTAATGTTACTATAAAACGTTACTTATTTTAAAAGTGTTACTTTGTCATGTTACCTACGTTAAAAGTGTTACTTTAAGTGTCACCTTCTACAAAAGTGTAAGCAGAGTGTTACTTATAAATTTATAATTATGCATTTTAAAAAGTGTTATCAAAAATATGTTACATAAACTCAATTATGTACTAGTGATGTTAGGGCTATATATTTGTTCTTTATTGTTTAGTGACATGCTAGGATTTGTTATTAATCTTGTTAGTATCATGCCTAGGATCTTGCTATTATCATGATTATAATTATTATTATGATGATTATTATTATGTTGCTTGATATTTATTGTTATTGCTTGATCACACCTTTTATGCGTGTTTAAAGGGAATTTTTACTTGTAATCACGCTTAATAATCTTGTTTAGGGTTAATATGATTATAATTCAAGTGATCGCCAATAATAGATTTATTTGTGCATTAATATTCAACCAACATAGATAAACAGGTTTAGGGTTAATCCTATTGATTGCATGTTAGTCAGAAAACGCACATGAATACGATCTGAATAAAGTAGAGGCCTATTATTAGGGCAGGTTCAATCTCTTTTAGGTTGGATTTGTACCTTAATCCCCGAACCCTTATTTGGTTAAAGACCTTATGGAGTTGACGATCTCTTGGATCGTTAAGGGGTGTAACCTTCACCTCGTGAACGGTTTACAAGTTCCTAAAACTTGTTGGCGACTCTTTTGTTCTATCTTCTTCCCTTTTGGACGCCACCGTACTTTAGTGTATGATCACAGTGGGGTTCAAGCTAGGGGTTTAATGCTTGAAATTTATTCCCTACAGTTTTTGGCGACTCCACTGGGGAGGATTTCTATTTTAATTCTTGAATTTGTTTCGGCAATGATTTAGAATGTGGATGAGACTCGAAACGTTCTAAGTATTTCATGTGCGTAATTTTGATTAACATTATTGTCATATGCATAAAAAAGATCTCATTGGAAAGACCATCCCTAATGAGTTAAAAACATAGGATTTTACACGTAGGAAATTTGAGAAATATCTTTCACAACTAGGACCGAAATAACACTGCGCGAAACTGGAAAATTTTATCGAGCATAGAAAGTTGTTGAGGCATGTAGGAATTAGCGACAGCGAACAGAAGCTGGCGCCAGACATTTAACCGTAGCGTCAGACGACAACCATGTCTCCAGGCGCTACAGCTAAATCCTGGCGCCAACCTCTGTTTGCTGGCGCCAAATTCTTCCAATACCGAGCCAGAAATATGCGTTCTAATTTTGACCAGTTTTTCGCATTGTTTGCTCGATCCTACTTCCTGATAGAGTTTTTCTCACTTTTTTGAAACCCATATGTGTTCTACATATGGACATAACCCTCTGGGAATTCATGCTCCATCTACCTGATTGAACGCTCTGAGCAACAAAGGGTACATCCGAGAATGTTGAATTCACCAAACCATGGAAGCGAGTTTTTCTAAAACTCGCGGTGTCCCATCCAATCGCGCCAACCCTTCACGGTTAGGCTTCCGCGCGGTGCATCTGGACAATTAACCATGGGCCCTCTATTGACTAAACCATATCCCGAACTTTAGAGAACTAGAGCCATGGTTAGGTTGCAAACTCATTGCATCATATTGTGCCTACTTGACTAATTGTGCATTATTTGTTGCGCATATACTATGTTTTCTTAACCGTTTAATTGACTTGTGTTGAGATTAAATAAATTAATGACTTAAAGAACTTTGCCTAATTAATTAATTAATTAATTTGAATAAATAAAGTCTATTTTTTTTAATCAGAATGGACCTAGTACGACTTTAGGCGTACCCCTGTTGATTAATAACACCGAAAACAGTCTCGGATTGAAGCTCCAGCATTGGCGCCAAAGTCTGGACTGTAGCGCCACTCTATGGAGTGTAGCGCCTAGCGACAACTCTATCGTCTGGCGCTACACTACATAGTGCGAATCCAGTCCTGTCATTTTGCCGATAGTTCGGATTATTGGTCGAATCATCACCTAGTGTCTAATTAACCAATTTGCTAATTAATTCGGTTAATTTTCGCTGTCAATTAACACTTTGTTAAGTCATTAATTGAGTCTAGTCACATAGTCTAGCCACATGGTCATGACACGAGTCTTAACATGTCACCTACACTCACTAGTCTTAGCTTGCACTTTGAGTACATATCACCATGACCATGTCTTAGGTTCATGCATGAGTCGATTTTTTACGTCCTTTGAGTTGGGGGTACATTCTATTCCTAATTTTTCATATCCCTCCATCTACATCATTTTTCTTCAAATTCTATTCCAATTTTTCTTCACTTCCTCCATCCATTGCATGTTTAATAAAGTTTGAGTCAAATAATTAACAATAGATATCCCCAAATTTCTTTTCCACAGTACTTGGTCGAGGAGAGAAGGACGATTAATCAAGGACAACCTCTTTATTCAAGTTTCACTTTTCGATAAACCAATTCGTCAAAAGAGGAAGGCTAAAAAGATAATGGAAACTCAAGAAGAGGTCAATGAACTTAGGAGTTAATTGAATGACGTGACTGAGGTGTTAAAGGCTTTAACCCTCAAAATTGATGACCTTGTGAAGCAACAACAAATGAACCTCATGCAAGAAAGTCTGAGAAAGCTGTCTTGTGACTATAAATTTCAGGGCATGAGTTCACAAGGGGTCTCGCTGGACAAGGAACTTCTTCCGCATAAGTTCAACGCCACTGACATCCCTAAATTCAAGGCAACAGATAACCCTTACTTCCATCTAAGAGCTTTCGAAACTATAATGAACATTAAGGGTATCGATAAGAAGTTTTTCCCCTCTCTGTTCTCACTATCTCTTGAAACCGTTTGCCAACAATGGTTCTTCTCCCTCGACAAAGAGAAAACCTCTACCTGGGAATCGATAGTAAACGCTTTCATTGATAGGTACAAGTGCAATATTCAAGTTAAAACCGACTATAGACAACTTGAGATGCTAAGACAAAAAGAGAATGAAGGATTTACTTCTTTCTTTAATAAATGGAGAGAAACTTCCACTAAGATGATTGAGGTGCCCACTGAAAAAGAATCTGTGAGGACGTTTATCAAGAATCTCCAAGAAAAGTATTCGAAGCATTTAAAATATCAACACAATATGAATACTTTCAAGGCCGTTTATGACATCGGAATTGAAATCGAAGATGACCTCGCAAAACAAAAAGCTACTAACAATAGTAACCACAACGGTTGGAAAGGAAAGAAGAACGACAATCCTTCTTCTTCCGAAAACGCCCACTCTAGTAATAATGTTAGTACCTTTGACCATAATGGTGTCTTAGCCATGGATAATCAAGGATCTAAAAGGAAACCCAGGAGAGAATTCACACCCATTGGAATGACCTATGATGCTGCTTTCGATCGTCTTTATGATCGAGGATTAATCAAACCTATTGGCCCTACCGAGGATCCAACGCTAGAAAATCGATCTTCGAGATGGAATCCCAACTCTTATTGCAAGTACCATCGAGGACATGGTCATACCACTGATGAATGCTATAGGTTTCAAAACCTCATTCAAGATCTCATAGAGGGCAAATAAGATCCCATTGCCTCTAGCTAGCGAGAAGATTGGATGATGTCGGAGCAAACAACACAAGACAGAGGCGAGCTTCAATGACGAGATTTCATGACCTCTTTTTTTCTATTTCTTTTTCATTTTTTCCTTTCCCCAATAAGTCTAGCATAGGCACCTTTCTTTTCCCTTAGATTATTTTTGTAGATTCTTTCTTTTCCCTTTTTTTTTAATAAAATGAGCATTTATTTCCTTGCATATGATCATCGCATTGCATTGCATAAAAAAAAAAAAAAAAAAAAAAAAAAAAAAAAAAAAAAAAAAAAACATGTCGAATTAAGCACAAGGTATACCAATGATTTGAGGCACCCCTTGTAGCCACATCATATTGCCTTTCACCCTTCTAATTTACAATCCTTTCTTAATAAACCACTTTGAGCCTTATTTAACAATAGACCTTTTATTTTTCAACCCATATCTACCTAACCTTGGGATGGGACAGTGTGAAACTTATGCAATTATAAAAAAGGCTTGAGTGAATTCAAAAGATTAAAATAGCAAAAATAAGCAAAAAAATAATAAAAGTGTACAAAAGGGTAAGTGTTCCAATGTCTTTGACATGAACATGTCTTTGATATGAACACCTCTCAGATTGCGTCTCTTATCGAGTGCTCGGTACCGTGCCTGAGAAACATGAATGCCAAGTGAGTGATAGACTGCATGATCGGGATTGCCCACACTTATAAAAATGAAATAAATGTTAAAGCAAAAGAAAGAGCTAAAAAAAAAGAGTAGAAAGCTAAACCTCAAGCATGAAAATATAAAGATTCAAAAGCAAGGTTGCACACCTTGGGGGCTTATCTAGGGTCTTGAGCTTTTTATCCCCTTCTTCTTCAACCTTTAGCCTAACCACGTTACAACCCTTAAAAAGACCTTTTTGAGGTATACACACTTGTGCGAGGTTCGGCTAGAGCTACGTTCGGGCTGATTCCTAACGGATACGTAGGCAACCTCACATTGAGGTGCGGCCGTAATAAACATGCATTCATATCAAGGGATCTCCTATGCTCATCCCTATTTACTTGGAGCTAGACTTGGAGGCTTGATCCCTACATCATTAGCTTACCTAGCCTAAGAGTCACCACCATTTGACTTTTTTTTTTATCCTTCCACACACTTAGCCCTTGTGGCCTAACTTTAGTGTCACTATCACACACTGCACACATACATGACCAAATATACTCCCCTTAGGAGCCCTTTGTCATGAAATCTTAACATAACACTGAAGCATGCTTTGTCATGTCAAATTCCCAACATCACTCATAATCATCATTGCATATCGAAGTATGAAGTGCTTAGCCTCCGTGCCTAAGTTACCTAAATGCTTTCATTATCGAGTCAACTAGGATAGTCTAAGATGTTACAATCCTTGTACTGTGAGAAACAACATTTGACTAAGCTCATTCAACATGCACCTTCAAAAACTTCGATTCTTTTTTGCGTCTTTCTTTTTTTTCGGGAGAAAGTCGGTACCCTCCACAAAAATGACGGA